CAAAAATGCGTTAAAAATGCCCTCTTTCTAAAACTTGAAATTCAAGTTGAGGATATTTGGGCAGCAAAACAACCTCTTCTAGTGAAATTTTTGAGCTGGGCTCTAATTTGATTCTTTATAGCCTCGACTCGGTATAAACTTTTTCCGTGATGTATTTCTATAAATTTAGCAACACCTAACAAATTGATATGGTCAAATATTGGTTTGTTATTGATGAGGTGGAGATAAGTTTGGTTGAGTGCAGTTTGTTATTGATATGGTCAAAGATTGGTTTGTTGTTGATGAGGAGAAGATAGATTTGGTGGAGGGTAGTTTTACAAGTTCGTCAATACGCCCCCACAAGTAGACCGTACGTGTAGAGGGATGGACAGTCAACTTGTCGCAAAACATGTAGTCTTTTGGTGAATAAATTTGCCGCTAGGTCATGGGTGGAGACATAGTGAACATAAAGATATTTATGAATCACCTTTTCCCAAATAAAGTGATACTCAACCTCCACATGACATAGTGAACATAAAGACATTTATGAATCACCTTTTCCCAAATAAAGTGATACTCAACCTCCACATGCTTAGTATAAGCATAAGAGACTAGATTAGCAGCTAAAGATAGTATACCAATATTGTCACACCAAATGATTGTTAAAGGTAAAAAAAATATGCAAGTCCTTGAGAAACATGCGAATTCAGTATAACTCTATAGCAATGTGAGCCAAAGATCTAAATTCAGATTTTGTACTTGACCTGGCAACAATGGGTTGTTTCTTGGCACTCCATGAGATGAGGTTGCTACCAAAGTATATGCAATAGACACTCATCAACAGGCGATCATCTGGACTGCCAGCCTAGGGGTCTAAGGTGAAAATCTTCAAAACTGATAATGACACATAATATACAAAAAAATCTCTTTCTTCATATTTGATGGATCATGGAATTATTCATTAAATATCATGTGTAGAAACTCCTCAGCAAAATGGAATTGAGAGGAAAAACATGCATCTTCTTGAAGTAATACGTGCTTTACTTTTTCAAATGAATGTTCCTAAATCATACTGGTCTGAGGGTATTCTTATTGCTTGCCATCTTATAAATCGAATGCCAACTAAAATCCTAGATTATAGAAGCCCCGATGAAATGTTGCATAGTTTCCCTCCTATAGGCCATCATTTAAAAATATTTGGTTGTGAATGCTTTATGTATTATCAGATAATCATAGAGACAAACTTATTAAACAGTCCATTAAATATATAATCATGGGATATTCACCTACCAAAAAGGGTTATAAATACTATGACCCAAAAACCAGGTGAATATGTGTTTCACAAAATGTTGTCTTTAATGAGTAAATTCCTTATTTTTGAATTGATAAGCTTCAGGGGGAGATTCGCAAGATAATCTCTACCCTAGATCTCTAAACAATTGATGGTCTTAATTTTAGAGTTGAAATCATTAATACTACGTCTATTAAGGAAATACCTCAAGAATCCATTCTTGAAACACTACAAGAATCCGATGAGGAGGTTCAATCAAATGAATATCAAGGGGAAATAATGCCTCAAGACTTTCAGCCAAGACGATCTGGTCGTATTAGTCAAGCTCCTCCTAGTTTACAGAATTACTATATATATCATGTCAAGGAAAGCAATAACAAAATTCACTACCCCATTAAAAAATAGATGATTTCTAAGAAATTATCTCTTAAATATGTCGTTTTTTAACCAAAATTTCATCAACTAAAGAACCCACTAACTTCTAGAAAGCTAATTCAAATGCAATATAGATGACTGATATGAAAGAGGAACTTGTTGCTTGAAAGAAAAAACATACTTGGAATGTTGTTACTCTTCTTAAAAAGAAAAAAACCAGTTCGATGCAAATGCATCTATAAAATGAAATACAAAAATTATGGAACTATCGAGAGATAGAAAGCAAGACTTGTTGCAAAGGGATTCACCGAAACCTATGGTGTTGACTACAAGGAAACCTTTACTCATGTGGTCAAAATGGATACTGTGAGGGTTTTACTTTCTATTTCTACCAACAATGACTAACATTTATTTCAACTAGATGTAAAAAATGCATTCTTGTACGAAGATTTGGAAGAAGAAGTTTACATGAAACTTCCTCCTAGTCATCCTCAAGAAAACAACAAAACTCTGGCTTGCAAGCTCATGAAAGCAATTTATGGGCTTAAACAATCTCCTAGAGCATGGTTTGCAAAGTTAAGTCAAGTTCTTGTTCATATAGGGTTTTCTCAAAGTAATGTTAATTTATCCATGTTGGTAAAAAGAAAGCAATCCAAGAATGTTATTGTTGTTATCTATGTTGATGAAATTGTTATAACAAGAAGTTATTCAAATTCCATAACAAATTTGAAAGATTACCTTCATATAAAGTTTGATATTAAAGATTTGGAAAAACTCAAACATTTTTTTAAAATTGAGGTTGCTTACTTTCACAGAGGAATTTTTATTTCCCAAAGAAATTTTGTTTTAAACTTTTTGTGCGAAACTGGCAAGATAGGGTGTAAATCTATTGATACTCTAATTGAGACAAATTATAAAAGCCAATATAGACTTAGGTAAAACTTTGGAAGGTATTGGGGTGTTTCAATCTTTGGTTGGTCCACTAAAATATCTCATTGTAACTAGATCTGATATTGCTTATGCAATCAGTATGGTGAGTCAATTCATGCATTCTCCAAAAACTGCTCACCTTGAAGCTATCAATTGAATTTTAGGATACCTTAAATCATCTCCTGGAAAAGGAATTTTAGTGGAAAAAAAATGGTCTTTTCTGATGCTAATTGGGTAGGTAGTCCTACAAATAGAAGATCCACCGCAAGGTATTGTACATTTGTAAGGGATAACCTTGAAACTTGGAAAAGTAAGAAACATACAGTAGTTGCTCGATCTAATGTAGAGGCCGAATACAGAGCCATGTCAACTACAACCAGTGACTTAAGCTGGCTAAAATTTCTTCCCAGAGATACGTGTTTCAATATTTTATGTCCAATGGTTGTGAACTGTGACAACTAAGCTGCTATAATGTTGCATCAAATCCCATATTTCATGAACGGACTAAACACATAGAAACATACTGTCTTTTTTGTGAGAGAGAAAATTCAAGCCAAGGAAATTACTACTCCAATTGTCATAAGCAAAAATCAATTTGCTGATATCCTACAAAGACTGCAAGCAAATTATAGTTCCAAGAAACATTAAGCAAGTTGTGTTTGATAGATATAAACGCACCAACTTGAGAGAGAATGTTGAAATGAAAAAGTGTACAACTAGTTGTAACCTTGTACAACTAGCTACTCAAATCCCATATTTTTTGGTAACTAAATGTGAAGAATATCTTGGTGATATATTTAGGAGATACTTGGAGAATTAGCTTATGTTTTGTTGTTTTGTTGTTTTTTTGTATTTTCTATTTAATACTAGATGAGTGAAATAATGAACACGATAGAATAGCCATTCAACTGTGGATGTATGTCAAATGATCAAACTACGTAAAGTTGTATTTTCGTGTTCTTCTCCTCTTTGCCTCTTTCTTCTCAATTTCTTATACATTATAGTGATATGGAATTTTGGATCTTGTACATTACTCGGCCGAGTTGCGCAACAGGGGCCAAGGCTGAGTCCGAGGCTGTCGAACCTAGCCGAGTCTAAAAGGTTGTCATCAAATAAGTGAGGACATCTTAGTGAGATCTGTTAGTTTATGTTCAAATCCATGACAATTCTGGACCACAAATTAGGCAACCTATAATTAGAGGTCTTAATGACTGATCCATGCAGCACCTGACCATTTTCACTATAGAAAACTTTCAGGTTTTCGAATTATTAATGTGAAAAACGCTTTGATTTGAATTGTTTGAGGTACTTTACCTTTCTCCCCTGAATTATACATGACTTTTAATATTTAACTATTTTCCTTTTAGAAGAACAATGATGGTAAAAAGGTGAATTAAATAGAACCACATTGAATGAATTTCCTATGTTTCTAAGTGCTGCTCATCTAATCAATGCATTTAAAATGTTATTCAAGTTTTATAGCAATTATCCAGGAAGTCATATGCAAACAACTTATGGGTTTACGGTGCTTTAGCAAGGGTAACAGTGTGCAAAGTGCAACAACTTCTTGCCCATGGTGAGTCACAGGAAGGTTGTTTCAAATATTCATCCTCTACGTGGTGATATTTTATACCATTCACTTTTCAATCATGTTCTGCTAATTTCCTTTTTTTTCTTTTTTTTTTTATTTACCATTTTAAATTTGCACAAACTTTGTTCACTGGACATTTTCCTTAGTAAGAAATCACATAGCTATATACCATGGCCAAATAGTCAAACTAAAATCACGAAATGGTTTAGTCAACTAGCAACTAGGATGAGTTTAAATCGCCGACGTTTCCAAACTTTAGATTTTGGGATGTGTTTAGAAATCTTTCATAATAGAGAAATGGAAAAAAGAAGTACTAGAAATAATGTTAGTAACCAATAACAAATGGTACATATTTTTCTTATCAAGTAATGTATGCAGTGATAATCCAACAATATTATTTCTCCTTTTCTTTTTTGGAATATTAACTTGAGAGCTGATGAAAATGGAACTCAAGAAGTTTTTGTGGCACCCACCACGCAGACCATCTTTGGCAAGAGCCCCTTGTCAATGCAATGATAATTGTTTCATATGATGATATTTTATGTAACTTAATTCTCTAAGCAAAACTATTTATATTATTATATATTACTATATTGAAACAAATAGTACTATATGTCGCAATAACTGTGAATATATGACATACCTATGCATTCCAGAATAAAAGAATTTCCCAAAATCAATAAAGATTATAAACTAAGGCATAATGTCAATTTTCCATATTCATATATGAACACTGCTTTGAACCCCGACAACCGTAGGAGATCACAATAAAAGATGGAGTTCCTCAAGAAATAGAAAAAAAGAGAAGACATTCAAGCCTTCAAGCTTCCAAGGTATTGGAATAACCCTAAGATAGGTGAGAGGTTCCCTTACTGTTTACCTAATGCAGGGAACATTCATCAGCACACAAATCTGAACGCAAGATCAATAACATATTGGACATCATCAAGTGTTCAAATGCTGACCAAATGAATACTAGAATACAACCAAATGCATAAGAAGTCTTTCCTTCAATTTGAAGTGTTGTATATCATTTTTTACACTTCTTGATTACAGACTGCACTCCAATCAGGACATCCACCAAGCATAATCTTCACAAATCCAAGATCAACATTCAAGAAACTAAACTAACAATGGGAATGCAAACTACCCACACCGTCAAAACATGTTTGGCAATTTGGCGTCCCGGGAAGAGTCAAGACGATAACTAACCACTTCGATGGAAAATGGCAAAAGGAGAAACGATGGATGATTACAAGTGCAACCACTAGCTCTTTCAGTCAAGTTATTGATAATGTGATATATAAAAGCCAATTGGTCCTCACTCAATACCACAAGAAGAAGAAAAATCATCTGAATGTGCCACGGTGATCCCAATTTAGAAAGGAGCAATCTGAATTGAGACTGAGATTCCGATATGAGTTTATTGTTCTCTCTGATTTCACTGGGCAGGAGAGACCTTTCAAGCTTGGAGATCTCTGCCTAGAATCAGGGGATCTAACAACCCGGGTTCGCGGCACAGTCTCACTATTAGACGATGCAAAAGGGAGTCTTCTCTTAGTAGGTGAAATATGGTCACTGAGTCTATCTGAAAGGCATCCCACTCTCTGCTTTGGCGCACTGCTTGATCTTGTCTTCGCCCTTGCTGATTCAGTAGGAACCATGTAGCTTGGAATAGAAGGGGAACTTGCATAAGATTCATCATCTTGAAATGAGCTTCTCACACTGCACTTTGAGCCACATCTGCTGCTGAATTCCTCAAGTTGTGCTCTTAAGATCTGTGGGCTTGAAGGCCTAACTTGACTTTGCTGGAATGACTTTTGTGGTGATTGTGAGCCCAAGGATCTTCCCGACCTTTGAAACTCCTTTTGTTTTATGGCCGCAGGATATTTTTGGGATGAGTCGAAGCAATTGGCAGTGCTAATGATGACTGGTTTATCTTGTGTGATTTGATCAGAGTTCTCTGGGCAATCACTTTCCCATGGCATTGAATCCATCCAATGCTCTAACCAGGTCCACTCCCAATTGGATATATTTTGTTGTCTGGCTATTACTGCAGAATCAGTTGATTGTTTCCCCTTTGTCCTCTCCTGAAGGCCCATTATTCAAGTAATTATATAGAAATTAAGTAAAAAAAGATACAGAGAATAACAAAGCGTGCACAGACTCGATATAAGAAAGATTGACTACAATTTGTACTTACCCGATGAGAAGATGCATATCTTATTGCCCTCTCTCGTTTGAATGCAGCTACTCGCCTCTTTAGAGACAAGGAATCAGATTCTTCCTTTGAAAGAGGTCTGCCATCCCATTTCTTTTCCGATTTTGATTCAAGCTATTCAATATACAGAAGTTGAATAAAATAATTTTGAGTACAGTGACTAGTACATAGAAGTATAGAACCATGTACATTAACTGAACAATTTAGAAAAACATTACTAGAACAATCTAAGCTTCTTATGGAAAACACAAGAGCCACAAACAAATGCCTATAACCATAAAGTTATTACAATTAAAGTCAATCTACTAAAATTTTAAAATTTTGCCAACTTACTGCTAGTTTTATAATCCAAGAAAAAGAATATAAACTGAAATACGGATCATTATTGTAAATAGTTAATGCCTTTAGTGTGGCAATATCTAGCGAAATGTTATTTTTATTGAAACCCACCTCTTGTTTGATTTCATTGGCTTGCTTCTTAGCTGGATGTTTTTCACAAGCCTGGTTCTCCTCTGCTAATCTCACTCTTCCTGCTTTCACCTGAGACTGAATTCTCAAAAGGGTTTGCATACTTCTCAACGTATTCGTTGCCTGGCGCCTTACAGCATGGCCTCGAACCATAGCTTGCAGACGCACCAATCCCTTCAGGGCTCGCAATGCTTTCCTTGCCTGCTTTGAATGCCCACAAATCATGAGAAAAAAAAGGAAACAAACAAAATAAAGGACCCACAAAGAATACATAAGAAAAACAACATTTATCGATCAGGATAGAAATACAGAAGAGAATAATATTTGTGTAAAGATAAACGACGGCCCTGAATCTCCAGACATCCACGTCTATCCAATTTACCAGAACCTAACAATCTACCAATGATGTACTTATTTTTCATTAAAAAAAATTTAAAAGATGGAATTAAGCAGCAGCACGAATGATGGTCTAGCCCCTAATCTCCAAGTACATTAAAATGATGGTCCGGCCCCTAATCTCCAAGTACATTAAAATGATGGTCTAGCCCCTAATCTCCATGTATCGGCATTTATACAATGCACCAAAAACTAGTATTCCAAGATTAACGTTCTTAATGGAAATAAGCATCAGCACAAATGATCATATGTTGTATGAAAATTACCAGGTATCCTCGAAAAATTGTCTGAATTTTAATAGCTGCGAATTCTTGAATCTCTTTCTCTGAGCGTTGATGAGATCGAGGAGTGCCAGTAAGCCTAACAATCTCAGCAGCTACTTGAGCAGCAGCAACAGCTGCCTCTGCAGCTGCTGCAGTGGCAATGGCTACAGCCAAGGCATGTTTGTTCTGCTCCTCCTCAGCTTCACTAAGAGTCCTCTCCTTGGGCAATAGTGGAGGAGCAGTTAATGAAGGTGACTTGGCTTTCCATAACCCGAACAACCATTTTCGCTTCTTTCTCTCTTTGGATGGCCTCTAAACCAAAAAACCAACTCGAATCCGAAGTCGTTAGGGAAATAATTTTGCACAGAGTTGGATTTCAAAGTTTAATAAGAAAAAAATGCCTAATATGAGTTTTTAAAGGAAGATATATTGTACCTTATCCGATTTTGCTCTTTGATTGGAAGCAAAGACACTCTTCACTGCACTGAACCAGCTACCCTTTCTTCCCATTGCCAAGCAACATTACAGGGTACTGGTTGGTAATAAATGGAACTCGGAATTTCTACAAAGATTCTCAATTACAGAAAACATGCATCACAAAGATCACCCCAAATTGAGTATCAAATTCACTCATACTACTACTGAAGAAGCTTGAAGATTCTGCAAATGTTCTTGTAAGCGCAAAACCCATACTATAATGTGGAATCCAAATTAACTATTGAAGCAGTCTCGCCATTACTACAAAATCAAAGGAAAAGAGATGAGAGAGAGCCCGAAAAAGGTTGAATAAAGATAAGAGAAGAAAATCATTACTGATATAGGGTGAGAATTAATCATACCTCTGATAAACCTTTGTGACAGAAGATGCTTGAGAGAAAATTGAGTACTGAACCCCTTCCATTTGGATCTGAAAGGAAGAAGCAAGCAATTGTGGCGTGGGACTTGGGAAAAAGAATGGGTTCTTTTCTTTTTCTTTGCTTTCAGTAGTGGTGGCTTGTCTTGCCCGAAAATGTGGGCCTGGAAGCAAGCACCAATGACCACAAAAAAGACCAGAAACATTTGTTGCTTTTTAGATGGTGGGGTTCTTCATCAAAAAAGCCATTTCTCTCTGCAACTCTCTTCCTTTACATCCTCAAAACCACCATCTTTCTATCTTCTCTCAAATTTTTTCCTTTGCAACAAACTCTGCTCACACACTGTCATAGTACTCAATTCAATGGAGAGAGAATAAATACCCTCGAATAATAAATCTAATTTTTTGTGGTTTTGTACTGAGCAAATCTGTTTCTTTATTGGTGAGATTAATAATATAAGGGCAAAGTATAACTAACAGTTCGGTGTTTTTTAGGAACAAGGACCGATAGCCCCCAGTCGGCAGACACCGAAAAAAAAAAAAAAAAACCCTTTTTATGTTTAGGGTGCGGTTTGTATAGAGCCAAGGTTCTAAACAATCAAACTAGAGCCCAACCTTCAAATAATGTCCGGAAATATGGTTTTAATATTGGAAAGTTTTGTGATAGCCTTGAATTATATTTTTATCATTAGTTATAAATTTTAAAACTTCAAAAACAGTGTAGATCAAGAAGATCTATGAAAATTTGAAAATCTTGAAACTCGATAGTCCAAAAAAACGTTACAAGATGCACTACTTCTAAAACTTGAAATCCATTTTTTTCTCATGTCCATATATCTTAATGTCAAGATGATCAGTTTGATGATATTTGGGCATCAAAACAACCTCTTGTAGTGAAAGTTTTGATGTAGGTTCGAATTTGATAGTTTAGAGCCTAAGCTCTATATAAACTTTTCCCGTTCTGTGTTTCTTATTTACTTTTTCAAAAAGTATATAAAGACCCTTTATTTTTTATACAATTATGTCTGAAAATGAGTGGTTGTAAGAGTATCATTGAAAAGACTTAAAAATTTTTAAAAAAAAAATTCTCAAACTCTGTGACTAGTCTGAACCATCTAAATTGATATATAATTAATATGAGTGATTATGACCTCCTTGTAATAAAGATAAATTGTATCAGTGTATACAATCCCTTACTTTTTTCTGATTCTCAATTTGCTCCAAGAGTATACACCGGTGCGGATGGGTGTATGCCCCATGCACCCAATGGGTGCCTTAGGTGCTTTGAGTGCATCAAGCCATCCAAAGGGCCTTTGGGTATAGCATCATGGCTCTATTAGGGCCACGATAGCACATCACACGTTGTGATGCCCAAAAAAAGCTGTGATGAGGAATCCTTGAGCATCAATGCCCTATTAAGGCCATGAGGATATTTTGGGTTAAAAAATTTTGGTGGGTATGGATATAGTTTTTAAAAAGAATTAATATTTTTAAATTTTCTAAAATATAAAAATATTTTTTATAATACTTCTAAAATATAATATATCGATGGTGATAATTATAGGCAACAGAGACGTAGGTGATAGACACAAAGCAAGATCCCATTGGTTGAGCCCAGCCTATCTCTGTAACCACCAGCCCACAATTAGAGGATGATAAGAGATTTAGGAATATAATTTTTTATGATCACAACATACTCTTCATAAATATAAATTAAATATCAATCAATTAAGGGCCTAAGCACACTAGCTTGCATAGCATACGAACTTAAGTTTATTTTAACATCTAAAGCCCGGGTGTGGTTAAGATCAATATCTCTCTCTCTCTACTCCCATGAGACGGCCAGAGGAGAACATGGGCGTCAAAAGTTCAGATACAAGGGATTGGTTTTTGGTTCATTCCATCTTGATCAATATACAGACATTACCAGGTCGTTTAGGGCTGCCAAAGCCTTGTCTTCAACGAAACTGTGGCTGCTATGGGTTAGCATGGAAGTCACGGCTTCTAATAAACAAATGCCTTGCATGAAAATGACAATTAAGATCACATGAAATTGGGTAATTTTGGATAACTCTGCCGTGTACCGTCGGAGACTGGTACCGTTCAAATCAAGCAATGCAGCGGAATTTGAACGATTTTTAAGACCCTGATCAAAGCCACCCTCTCTCTGAGTCACAGATGAATTTTAGAGGTGTGACCACTTGAAAGAAAAAGAGCGGTTTCCCAGTTCCAAGAATGGACTTGTAATTCATTAGTGTGTTTATTTAAAAGAAGGTGAGGGGCATAAAATGTGATGGCAGGGCTTTTAAGGGGCTTTTTTTTTATTATTATTGGTACGGGGGGGCCATTCTTAGCTGTCCTCATCGGTTGCAACCACACAGTGTGACTCCCACCTTCTGCACCACATTCAATCCTACTCTTCCAAACCCCACATTCATCTCCAGCGTACACCCCCACCCTTCACATGAGACGTCCCTTACCGTGTCCTATTGTAAATTTGGAAGATCCCAAAAGTTTAGAGAGAGGAGAGAGAGTGTGGGGGAGAGGGAGAGAGATTGCATGCTTTAGGCTCAAATTCTTCTAGGGTGTAATTGATTAGCACTTGACGATCGTAATACTATGGCTTAGATTCAATACTTATCAAGGGTAGAGGCCCTCTCCCCACTGACTCACCTAAAAAAAAATTCTTCCAAGGTAAAAAAAAGGCCTCTCCCTACTGACTCACCTAAAAAAAACAAAAAAATTCTTCTAGGGTAAAGGGTAAGCTTTGTATAATGTACCCACCTTATACCATAAAATTATATGAGTAAGCCACGCATCTGAATTTTGCTGGAAAATGTAATTTCAGTGTTGGAAACTTTATGATGGCTTAAATATCTATGTTCAATCCTTATTATACAATTTCGAATTAGTGCAGATCAATAATATCTATAAACACTTGAACATCGTGAAAATTGCGAGCCACACATCTAGATTTTGCTGGAAAATGTAATTTCAATGTCGGAAACCTTATGATGGCTTAAATATCTATGTTCAATCGTAATTAGACAATTTCGAATTAGTGCAGATCAATAAGATCTATAAATACTTGAAAATCATGTAAATTGCGGTCAAGATATCTTATTACAAGATGCAAAGTTTTGGGGACTTGAAAATCTTTTTTTCTTTATATTCATACATCTTGAGATCAAGATGATCTTGAATATTCTCCAACATCGGAACACTTTTTCTGTGGGATTTTGGAGGTGAATCTTGCTTCTACGTTATAAGGTTGCAACCTTACATAATCTTTTTCCAACTACAACCTAAAAGAACTTATGAGCCATTGTCAAGGGACCGATTACAATTCTTTGGCTCTGAATTGGGGGAATCCTAATTTGAATACTAGCTACCGTGATTTGGCCTGTAAAAAACTTAGTTTTCGCATTTCAAATAAATATAGTCCAATTAGATTCGTCAATATTTGTGCTTTTTATGTTTGAGTGTGGTCTGCAAGAGTTTGCAAACTTAAATAATCGGAGTAAAGCAAACTTCCAAACTTTGTTATGAGATGTAATTTTCGTGTCGAAAATTCTTAGGATCGTACGTGAATCTATCTTTATCTCTAGTTATAAAATTCTAAACTTCAAAAATGGTCCAAATAAAGCAGATCTATAAGCACATGAAAATCTTGAAAATGAACGGTATAGATGATGTGTTCAACATATACTATTGTTAGGAGTTGAAATATCTTTTTTCTCTACATCTACACATCTCAGTGTCGACATGATCAATTAGATGTTTTTTCAATATCATAAAAACTTTTTTGAAAGATTTTAGAGGTACACCTCAATTCTACATTTTTAAAGAAAGGGGTGAGGGTCATAGTGGTAGACCTCAAACCTAATCACCAAGTTTTCATTCCTACCACTAATACCACCCCACTAATACCTTCAGAACATCTAACTCCTAATCTACTTAAAAAACAGTTAAAAGGCTGTCTTTCCTACGGAATTACCCAAAAGTAAATAAAAAAACTAACTTTATAAAAAGTGTTTCCTTCATGTTTTATCCTAGAGGAAATGAGAACACCTGGGGCGCAGTTTATCATGGGAAATAAAATTTGGCCCTCACTAGTGCCATATGGCAAACTATTTCTAGGCAGTAATACCTCATGGAGAGTGGATTGCGGCAACATGAATTTTCCGGTGGATGGTTTTACCAAAGTACTCACAAACGACCATACATACTAATAGATATAGAAATTAAAAAGAGAAAAATGTGAGCAGTAGTAATGCAATTTTTAGCAATACTGCAAAAATAGTTAGGTTCAGCTCAGATCTGGTTCGTACTAGGGATCGAGGACCCCCCGGCACCCTTTAAACTGGTTGTGAAGGGTAATTTGCATTTTTTATCTTTTAATACGAACACCCTATAGAGAATTGGTGCGTCCGCTCAGAACCGGTCGGTGATTTGTTCCAGTAGATTTCTTTCAATAGAATTAAGTAGAGGGTACAAAAACATATTTTCCTCTCTATTTTTTGAAATTCAAATTTACATGCAAATATACCTCTCCGATTGGCATTGGCTATACAAATCCTAGTCCGTCATTCTGCTCTATTAAAGATTATACCCTCAGTGCGATTATAAGTCCTCATATCTTTCTGAACTACTCCCAACCACATATTTTTGGGCCTACCCCTTGTCATTTTAAATCTTTCCACCTGAACTAACTCGCACCTCTTAACAGGTGTTGTGTTTGGTTGGCGCCACACAAGGCCAGCCTACTTAAGTTTATTATCTCTTATCTTATTGTCTATTGGTGTCACACCTAAATTACTCGAATGGATTCATTTCGAATTATATCCCTTCTTGTCTTGTCACTCATCTATCTCAATATCATCATCTCTTCTACACTCATTCTATATGTATATTGTTTTTTGTCCACCCAACATTCAGCTTCATAAAGCAAAACTAGTCTCACAACTGTCTTGTAGAACTAGCCCTTCAACGTCATCTCATTATAACAAATACACTTGAGAAATGTACATCCCATATGTATATCTCTTATGTACTTGATATTTACATCCAAGCATATAATTGCTTCTCATAAATGAAGGAGACCCGTCCTCTCATGGTTCCAAATTTACTATGAGTACCACAGCCCTTCATTATGTTCTCATTGGGAAGACCCCCCCTTTTCCAGTCATGCTAGTTGGGAATCCAAAATATGGTATCGAGAGGTTGAGAGGAAGCATCACTTGAATGTGATCAATACCCTCTCGTTGGACTTCATTGACCCTTGCCATGGAGGGACAAGAGAAAGGAGCAGCATGGCCTACAGACCAACAACAAAAAAAGGGTCATTTTTATTCACAAGGCCTCTTATGGTTCCTCGGAGAGGTCTTTTCATGGAAATGATGTTCA